TTCTATGCCACTGAATCTATTTTGTTCATCAGTTTATTATTCTCTTTAGATTCCACATATAAGTGAGATCATGTGATATTTGTCTTTCTCTGCCTGGCTTATTTTGCTTAGCATAATACCCTCCAGGTCCATCCATACTGTCCCAAAGGGTACAAGATCCTTCTTCTTTACAGCTGCATAGTATGGGTTACACATCCTGGGTCTCTAGTAGGCAGTTAAATAGCAGGTGTGAGCAGAGCAGGAACATGGGCCAGGTGCAGAGGTCACCAGGGCAGAGCTCCGGGTGCCTAGCAATAGGCAAAACTACAAGCCTCCACATGACCACTACCTTAAGCATTAACCTCTGGAGATGACATCTAGGTCTCAGCTGTGTTTCAGCTCCAGGACCTGAAAAGCAGCAAAATCAGGCTGAGCCACCCCATGGCTGATATCAGGACCACCTGCGATAACTAATGACCCTCTCCCCTGGCACTGACCAATCAGCCGAGACCATGACCAGAGGGGCACACCTGGGAAGCTGATGAATATTCTATTGAGACCCTCCCCTGAGACCTCAGATAAAAGCTCTGAGGATGGAGGACCCACTGTGCTCTCTCTCTGGAGCACTCCGCGCTTTTCCCCACCCCCTTCTATCCCCAGGGTGCGCTCCCCCTCTGGCCCTCTCCTCCCCCCCTCACTTCTTCTACCTCCCTGACTTTCTAAATAAACCTCTTATAATTGGAGTCTTGGCTCTGAATTCTTCTCTCAGCCAGAACTCAAGGACTGAGATTGCCGGACTGAGGTTGACAGCTGGTGCCGTTTTTCCGCCAACAGGTGCTTTGTAAAATTCCCTTTCTTGTTCCTGAGCCAGGGTGAAAGAGAGAAAGGAGGCGGCTGTGAAGGCGTTTCTGTGCCCTGGGACGTGCCTCCCTTCCTCTGGCCCTCCCGGGAAGTCCGCCGCCAGGCTCGGGTGAACCAGGCCGCTCGGGGATGCCTTCAGTCTCACAGAGCGGTCAGCACAGATGTGAACAATAGCAGAGCAACCCACACTGCTGAGGGACGTCCACCAGACAGGCTGGGAAGGCTTCCTGCTGCCACCAGTGGCAGAGTTTCCAGGAACCAGTAGCCTGATAGGAGCTCAGGAGACCTGGAATTGAGATGCTGAGATCTGAGTGTTCAGATCACCACCAGGTGAGGGATGATTCTGAGAACTTTCATTAACTCACCAAATATTTACTGATAGCCTACTCTGTGCCCAGGCACTGTCCTAGGCGCTGGGGATATTACAGTGTAAAAATACGTAGCTTATAGGGAGCTCATATTCTAATGGAATGTGATCTTTCCTATGTGTTATGTTCTGGAGATACAAAAACGAACAAAATTCAGCCCCAGTGATTTCCTAATTATAAGTAAGCCTCACCGTCCTCACATGTACAAGAGGTTAAAATAATTATCTCACAGGGCTGTCTAGAGAATGATATAAACTAATCCATAGGCACGTTCTCGGCATTTAAGCCTCAACTAATATTATTTTCTTCCTGAAAAGTTAAAAAGCAAGTTACACTGAACTTTCCAAACCACAGGTTAGCCTGCCTGCCAGGTGGGCCCTGAACGCCCCTTTTGACGGTGGCCCCGGCACCGGCTGTGTCCGCGCAGCCCCCGCCCCGGCTCGTGCTGGCCGCGGGAACACGAAGCGGCCACGAGGGGGCAGCGCGCTGCCGGGAATCCGGGGCCGGCTCCAGCCCGCGGCGAAACTTCCCGGCGGCTCGGGGCCCTCCGTACGCACTTCCGTTCCTCTGACGCTCGCAGAAGCCGGCGCGGGGCAGGAGGCGCGGGTTTCCCCT